AATCAAGAGGTTAGTATTGGCTACCACTTTTTCTCGGCCGAGGAATTAAGCGACTTTGTTAAGAACGAGAGTAATAACGAAAATTGACCGATTATTGACGATTTCATTAAGCAAATTGAGGAGTGAAAAGAGGAAATGGCCGAACAAGAAAAATTATTAGCCAAAAAGGATAAGAGTGAAACCGAAGAGTTAGCGGCCCAAAGTTATAAGACTTTTTTATTAAAGAGAGACAAAGAAGGCATTGACTTCATTTGAAGGCAACCAAAAAATAAGGAAGGAAAAATAATATTTAGTGAAATTTCTAATTATCTCTTCAACTATTTAGGCGAATGGTATGAAGTTAGTAATTGAAAAGAAATAATTGGCAGTAATAATGAAGTGGAAGTTAATGCGGTCAAATCCATCTTTTATAACTATTATTGACATGTGGCGGCGGCTAGTGCTAATGGCATAATTCACCATAGTCCGCATGGAGAAATTGAAGTTTGTAATTGTCCGCAGTATGATGTTAAGGATACTTACCTTTGATTTGTGGGTGATTTTAGGCTAGATTTAGAACTAAAAAGGGCTGATATTAGTGTGTTTGGTAAAGATTGAGGATTTAAAAAAGTTGAACTTTTAGATGAGCGCATTCCTTTAATTGCGGGACAATTGCCAATCACTACAATTAGAAAAGATGAATTAGAAGACGAAACGGGAACTAGTTGAATTAACAAAAATTATGTTTTGCTGGATAAAAAATTAGGCAATAATCTTTATTTACAAAAAAGTAGCGTTGTTTATTGAAAATTGGTTGGCGATTGAAATAAGAAAAAAAAAGAATATGATTTGAGCAAAAAAGGTATTTACGACAAACTGGTTGAATGAGATTTTTTTGATGAGAATGGAAACATTAACCCCAAAATGGAACATATTTTTCGCGACCACTTGTCTGCCGAAATATTTTGGCGAGGTCAAAAGAAATGAGAAGGTAGTTCTTGAAGTTTAAATATTAGGGAAAGTGGAACTGTGGTTCGGAAAAGTGTGAATGCTGGCGGCCAATGTATAACAATCGAAGCCAATAATCAAATATTATTCTCTATTAATGAGACTATTTCTACCCAAGTTGAAGGTAATGAATTTGGTTCTAAAATGATTAACCTTGGAGCCAGCGTAGCAGTTGGAGCCGTAGCGGGAGCGTTCACGGGTGGAGCAGGAGCAGCAGCGACAATTGGTGCGGGCACATTGAAAACGGCCAGTGAAGCAGCGAAAGAAAGAGCAGCAATATTAATGGCTGGTGGTGGAATAGGCGGAGCAGCATGAAGAGGAGCGGGAATGGGGGCATTGGAAACTGGAATAACAAGTGGAATTCGAGATACTGCTTCCGTAGCCATTAACAACGAACATTACCATCAAAGCACTTTTTATGATATACAACATCGATACTTTTATGGAGGGCCTTATCCTCTTTGGTTGAAACTTAAATTAAATCAAGTTTTTAACAATCAATATATTCGCAAACGGAAAATCAAAGGCCCGACATTTTACGATTACTATAACACCAAATATTTAGGAAAATATTTGAATGCGAAAGGTTTTTTTCAATCTTCAATAATCTCGTGAAACTATAATCACCCTTACGGCGAATGATTTAGAACTCGTATTGAAAACGGCATATATTTAGGCGATGATTTTTATGAGGAAGAATTGAGTGAAATCAAACTTAAACAATCAGAAGGAAAAAGATATTTTGCTCCCCTAAATAGCCCCGAAGAAGATATCAGTTGAGAAAAATTAGAAAAGAAAAAAGAAGCATTAAAAAGCTTGATTGATGCTTGATTGGGAAAAATTATTCATAAGGACGACTTAGAAATTAAACCAACAGACTTTATCCCATTAGTCGGTCCAATAAGACAACTGATTAAGTTGAGAGAGGGTAAGATTTTTGGTTATGCGGGTTGAATATATGACAACTCTCAACAAATATTCAAACATGTTAAAGATTTATTTGAAAAAATTTATGAAATCCTTTCATACAGCAAAGAGGAGTTGAGGGAAAACGAAAAACAACTCAAAATAAAAAAAGTATACGACCAATTAACAAAAAAAGATGATACAGATAATATAACCAACAAAGGAAATTATTCTTTACGAATGTTAATCAAGGAAGAAAGTGAATATTATTTGGCATCTTTATCGTTTAAATTAAAAAAAGAAGGAGCAAAACTTTTGGAAATAGGAAATGTAAGTAAATTGTTGCAAGGAAACACATTTTTACCAATGCTTAATATTCAAGGAATAAAACCAAAAGAATTCAACCAATCTAATCCTAACAAACTAAAAGAAAAATAAATATAATAGGTTGAATTAACCGAGTTGGCATTTTTTTAAATGTTCTTCCTTTTTGCTACTTGAATCATCATTAAAAAAAAGATATTTAAGCAAAGCAAAAAAAGCCATTATTAAGACGGGACAAGATAAGAAAGAAATTGCTTTGTCATG